TTATTTTCCATTTTGCATTCTTTTGCAGCTATATACAACGCCGTTATAAATTTCCGTTTTCTTTTGACCCCTCTAAAATTTTCCATTTTGCATTCTTTTGCATCTATGTACAACGCCGTTCTAAATTTCCATTTCTTTTGACCCCTTTAAAATTAAGTATAGATAATATACTTCATTCTATAGTTTTTCTATTTTTTATCCTCTCTTGTTGTGTCCCATGAGACCTCATGTGTCTTTATTTTTATTTTTTTCATATTTTTATCCCCACTAGCTATTATAAGTATAAATAATACATTTCATCCTTTATTTTGCATTTTTTTCATCCCATCTTATTGTGTCCTGTGAGATATATATGCCATGAAATGGAATGGAAATCGGTAGCTATGTGTAGTGTCGTGTCCGCTTTACAAAGTCTGCACTCCAACATTAATTGTGTGTCAAGAAACTTTTTGACCAGCATATCCCGTGGTAAAATCCTAGGTCCGCCACTGCCTTCATGTCCCGGCCAGACAAGCTTGAATGATTGGCGCATGCATTGCAAGCAGTGGTAGTGAATATCTATGCGCTAGCTAGCGCTTATGATTGGGCCACTACGTCAAATATCATTTTCAAGGGCGACTACAGTGCATTTGTAGGGGCGGTTCGGCCAGCCGCCCCTACGCAAGGGTCTCTACAAATCATGTATTTGTAGAGGCGGTTCCCAGACCGCCCCTACAAATCATTTTTCCACCAAAAAAAATTAAATTTACAATTCAAATTGGACCAGAACATATATTTTTCAATTAGCATTAAAGATAAACAAGATCACTAAATTCGTATAGTAATATTTCAGAGCAAATCAATTGAGACCTATGAACTACAGGAAGTAGTAAAAGATTCACTGTACAGTTCTGTAGAAGTTTACATGAGCTCTCTAGTCAGATGCGATATTATGCATCAAAATGACAGCATATGGCCAGGTAATCAAGGTTCTATTCTCTTCAGAACTAGCACGCATTTCCAACATATGGGTTTTCCAAGAGAACTATAAACTCAAGATACAAATCAGGAAGGAACTGATCTTATCCAAACTATAAACATGGCATAGTTTCAGTCTTGCAAGTCATATTATCTGCATAAATATTGATATTGTGAGGAGTGGCTTGTCTCCCACCTTTAGACGTCTAGCCTGCAAAAGAAAAAAACCAACTCAGTAAACAAAGCAAAGACTGTTGTACTTTTTTGAAACAACCTAGATACAGGTGCATATGCAGATAAGAAATTGGAAGCAGGATCTTATAAACCTGATGGTCTGGGACGAACACAAACAAGACCTTAGCCCAAGTAAACAACAAAAGTAGCGGATAATCTGACTTCATTCTGTCAATAGTCTATAACTTGAGCAACTTTCACACTTATGCAAGTATCGTTGCTTTATCTTGAAATTTTACTTCTATGCATTCGAAAATTAAACTCATCTTCTTCCACACAAACATAGCAGCCATCTAATCTTGTTATAGTCAAACATTTCATTCGAGCACAGAACACCTCAGTCAACATAATAACAAGATACAGTGCATTATATAAACTATCGTTCTCCGTAATAATCTGTAACTGGGTTCATCCATGGGCATCCAAGAGGGATATGGGACCTCAAAGTAAGCGACTGTTAAGGAACGAACGCAGAAATAGCAGTATGCGCAGATGGACGGTATGGAAGGCTCTCAAGAATGCGATAGCATCGGCCGCATGAGCATGCAAACGAGGGCAAGCAAAGACGATGCTATCTGATGTATAACTGAACAGGCTGGTGTAATTGCAAGGTACCAACATTCCATGAGGAATGGAAGGAAAGAAAAAGGAAAACAAAACAGGAATTAGAGAACAATGTACATGATATGAGAAAACAAAAAACAAAACCTGAGCCCAAGTAAACAGCAAAGTAGAGTATAATCTGACTAATAATGGCAAAACCTGCAGAAATTGGTCATTCTGTCAGTCTATAACTTGAGCAACTTTCAGAGTCACTTATGCAAGTACCTTTGCTTTATCTTGAAATTTTACTTCTATGCATTCGCAAAATTAAACTCATCTTCTTCCTCACAAACATAGCAGCTATCTAATCGTGTTGTAGTCAAACATTTCATTTGTGCACAGAACACCTCAGTCAACAACTCAACATAATAACAAGGGTCATACAGTTCAACATAATAACAAGGGTCATACAGTGTCATAGATAAACTATGATTCTCCTCAGATAAACTAGATATCAAATTATTACTAGCAGCTTTAATAAGCATCCTGGTGAAAATATCTGCAACTAGATTAAAGAACAAAGGGGAGAGAGGGTCTCCTTGCCTGACGTGGATCTTCCTGAAGGCCTTGCGTAGGCGATACGGGACGTGGATCACAACAGCCTTCCTGCTCCCGGAAACATCCATCTGGCTACAAAGTCGCAACAAGCATCGTCACCCAATGTCCAAACCAGTTTGGGTGCTCGGTTTCGCGCAGCAGGAAGAGAAATGAAGGGGCCAGCATACCTGATTTGTAGGAAAAGGGTCTCCTCCAACAGCTCTAATTTGTAGTGTACCTGCATTGAAAAAAGAAATAAAACATGGAATTTTAAGGTCTTACAGAGCATATGAATAATACTAAATCGAAAGCTTTAGGCGTTTGCTTAAAATCCCCACCTCACAGGACTTCAATATACAAGTTTGAAGTCCATGGGTGCCCTTTCACACTTCACAGGTCAGATATTTGAATGGCCATATTTACCACAAGTTGCAGCAACATGCATCCAAGAATTGTCAATTTCACAGCAAAAACATAGACTAAGAAGTGTAGTAGCAATTAGGGACGACGATTGCAAACAAATCTAAACCTAGACTAACCGGAGTAGTAAGAACAACGGGAAGGGTGCGCTTAAAACGGTTACGTACCGGATCTGGCGAAATCGACGGCCGATGACGGGTCCAATGAGGCGACGAGGACGTGAACAACCAAATCGGATTTCAAATCGGTCGGATCCCGGACGCGCAGGGATCTTGTTGAAACGAAAGCGGGATGTCAGAGGTCTTTGACGGCCAGATCCGAAGGTGGGAGAGACGAAAAAGGCGACGACGGCGGGGAAATACCTCGGAGAAACCGGCGGCGCCGCCAATCAACGACGGCTCGACGGCGGGGACAGGCGACGGGTCGAGGGGGGGTAGCGCGGATCCAGACATTTGCGGTCGATTGACGGCCGGAGGGTGTCCAGTTCGGGAGGTGGAGGCGTTGGGGGTGGCGCGGAGCGGCGGACGGAGACGCGCAGCGCCGCAAGAGGGGAACCCTACCGGGCGAGCGAATGGGAGAGAGGGAGACGACACAGCGCCGTCGGGGGCTTGTATACCAGCCGAACGGTATTTATTTGTGGGAGCGTTTGTAGGGGCGGTCGGTTATTGAGCCGCCCCTGTAAATTTCAACATCGAGAGCGGTTGGTGAGTGAGCCGCCCCTACAAATCCGATCTATTTGTAGGGGCGGCTCGTATCACCAGCCGCCCCTGCTATTCCATTTGTAGGGGCGGCTGATGTCTGAGCAGCCGAGCACGCCACTGTAGGGGCGGCTCCATCACCAACCGCCCCTACAAAAAATTCGAACCGTTGCTAAAAATCGTTTTTTACGTAGTGGGCCACGGTCCTACCATCGTACGTGTCGTGTCATTAACGAGAGCACTGGATCGAGGCGTCGGTCTGGAGCGGGTCACCCTACGTCGTCGATAAGGAAGGAGAAGGGATACATATCGGGACGGACAGCTTCCGATATGTCAATAATGGCATATATATTCTTGTTTCTGTCTGAGCATGCATGGCCGGGATACGATGAAATATGATGTAGGTTAATGGGGTGCATGGTGCAGCGCTCATGGATTGGGGACGGCACCGGTGGCATCCAAGGAACCCAAATTATATATATATATATATATATATATATATATATATATATATATATATATATATATATATATATATATATATATATATATATATATATATATATATATATATGATGTAGGTTAATGATGCATGCACAGTTGTGCTTAGCAATTGTGAAGAGATTTTGGTTATATTAATCTGAATTTGAGGGAATTAGCCACACATTTTCCCTGTTAAAACAATTCATGCATGTTCAGACAAATTTTTTTTGAGAAAGCAAGGCCCCAATGTGAAGATGTTGGGTCAGAACGTATGCAAATGTTTATACTACTACATACATTGCATGCATAGCAAGATGGATACATGCATGATTCTGTTTGAAACAAGATCTCTTTCTCCTCGATCTCCTCGTTGAGCCTCAGGACAGGAGAGGCATGCATGCTGCATAAAAAATGACATCTTATGCATGGTCATGCTTTTGTTCAATCCCTTGTGTAATTGGCGTGAAACAAATATGAATTCTCTCCATTTTTTGGGCAATCTCGGATATGTATATTGCATTGTATGCATATAGTACATATCACAATGTATTATAGTCCATGCATATTCTATATATATTATAATGATCAAAATTCACTGTTTAGCATCTCAATGCAACTTCTGTATGTAATTTTGAATTTTACACGGTGCAAGTATTTTATGATCAGTGCTGTTGCTAGAAGTTGGGTTACATCATTTTTTATGATAACCATGGCAAGACATTCTATTTTTGCATTACTCACTTTACAGAATAAACAAATAAATTATTTTTCTTTGAGATTTGTCCCAGTGTACAAAAAAAATCATAAAAGAATGTAGAAAGAAAAATTATATATATATATATATATATATATATATATGTCCAAAAAAATAGATGGGATCAGAGAGAGATCCTGCTTGAGGCCAGGAATGCCGAGTACCCAAGATCCTTCTGACGTCATATTCTATATTATGACGTCACGTACCGTACCGGACACTGCAAGCTTGAATAACTGGCGCATGCATGCAGGCGGTGCGGTAGTTTATTTATTATTTGCATTGGGACTGACTTGACTGGTGGTACGGTTGATTTATTTGGGTGTGCCGGCGCCGCCGCTAACGATACCGGCCTTGAGCACCGCGTGGCTCCTCGGCACATCGGTGATGTCATAGTCGCATTTTTGGATCTTGGCCTTCACGTCCTGGTACCATTTGTCCACATTGGCAAGATGCTGATTCCCGTCGCCGGCGGCATCGAGCTCGGCCAGCTGCTGCTTGCCCCCATTGGCGGCCTCGTGGATCACCTTGATGCACGGACCCAGCTCGTAGTCCTGGCCATCGGTTCTGTTGAACTCGATGACACTCTTGTCCAAGGCCTGGATCTCCGCAACCACGACGGTGACCGCGCTGCGGACGGCCCTGATGTTGCTGCCGTTGATGGACACGGCGTACGGCGCCAGGAGGTTGAAGCACTCCCTGACGTCCTCGGGCAAGGGACATGTCGCATTGCGGAGGGAGTGGATGAAATCCCGCGCTGCTGCGGACGGCCCTGCTGCTGCTGCTGGTTGGGTCATGTCATTGACGAGAGCACTGGAGGCGTCTATGGAGCTGGACACCATTCCTTGCCTGGGCATGTCCACGCCAACCTGACCCACACCACCTGCTTCGAACAGACCACTACTGGATTCAGTTTTTTTTTTCACTCGGCAAAAAACACATGGCAAAAAATTGATCGGCAAAAATCTCTTTGCCGAGTGTCTTTTATCGTGCACTCGGTAAAGGCTTTGCCGAGTGCCAAGAAAAGCGACCGTCACGGCGCCGGCCTCGTTGACGGTGGCTTTGTCGAGTGCAACCCTGTAGGCAATCGGCAAAGATTTTTTTTTTTTTTTTTAAAAAAATCTTTGCCGAGTGCCCCCTGGCCGACACTCGGCAAAGTTTGAATTTTTTTTAAAAAAAAAACTTTGCCGAGTGTCATATTTCCGGCACTCGGCAAAGTTTGAATTTTTTTTTTAAAAAAAATTCTTTGCCGAGTGCCCTCTGGACGGCACTCGGCAAAGTTTAAATTTTTTTTTAAAAAAAATTATTTGTCGAGTGTTCTCTAGCCGGCACTCGGCAAAGTTTGAATTTTTTTTAAAAAAAAAAATCTTTGCCGACGGTCATGTTATGGCACTCGGCAAAGCTGGAAAAATGGTGTTCCGAGCGCCCATTTTTTCAGCTTTGCCGAGTGCTGTGACCATGGCACTCGGCAACGGGGTCCTTTGCCGAGTGCAACACTCGGCAAAGTGACCCAAAACGACAATTTTTTATTTTTTTTTACATTCCATCATGACAAATAAATTCATACAATCATATATCTCATCCATCACATATATATCTCATCCATCCACACATCCATCCGCACATATCACATCCATCATAATATATATCACATATATAATAATAAGTGCTCAAGTTCATCTAAATAAATCCACAAGTCCATCAAAGTCCACAAGTGCATCACAAGTATATCACAAGTCCATCACCAAGTGAACAACAAATGAAAAAAATACAACGTGCACTTATCTCGGCCTCTGCGACTGTGGTGAAGGCCCAGTTCCATCATTCGGAGGTGCATGAGGTGGATTATTCGAACCACCGTCAGATGGGAACTGCACAAAGGAGAAAAGATTGCATGTGAGACAAGATTATTTGGATAGCTAATCTAGGAAGGTAGAGGCCATACAAGCAAAGCACAAGCGAAAGTAAAAAAACTTTCATACTCACAGGAGTAGCTGGAGCTGCAGAACGCGGAGGCGGAGGTGGAACCAACAGCCCAGGTGGTAGAGATAAGCCCACACGTTGCCCAAGCCCTTGTAGGAACTCCGTAATGTCCGTCAGCCTCTGCGCCTGAGCCAGCCGCTCGGCCTGCTCAGCCTCCCGCTCGGCCTCCAGCTGGGCCGCCATCCTCTGGTGCCTGGCCTCCAGCTCTTGATGTTGCCTCATTTCTTGTTCTACCCGGACCTACAATATTTCACTCCAATGTTTCAGTAATGCAAAGCTAATAAAGATGTGTAAAGATCAATGTATGACGAGTAAAACAGGAATAACCTCAAGTGCGTCGACCCGGTGCTGTGCAGCGGTCGGCCGTGTGCGAATGGCCGGGCTCTCGCTCGTGCTCCGTGCTCGGATCTGGGAGAGAGAGGGAGTAGAGGCCGTGTCGATGACGCCGTCGCCAAGCCAGAACCGCCCATGCTTCTTGCCTTGCCCCGCCCTCATGACGGCCTCTCCATCGAAGTCATGGGTGCTCGGATCGTGGTCTGACCCATGGAGCGACCTCGCCACCTCAGTGTACTCACTGATGCGGGAGTGGACGCTTGGGTTCGTGTATGCCTCGGGTGGGTCCTCCAGGTTGAAGGAGACGTCGGACGTCGCCTTGCCCTTGTGGGCCATACACCATGCCTGGAAGTCCGAGCAAGCCTGGCCACTATGTGACGCCGACTACGAGAAAGACAGCACGATGATTAGAAATCAGACAGAACTGAGCGTCACAATAGATAAATGAATTCGCGTACCCATGCTTGTTTGTATCCGGTGAGGCTGCGGCTGCCTTGATGGTGTGCTGGACCTTGCATCTGCAAACAACGGTCCCAGGCATCCCTGTGCATCTTGAGGTACTCCTCTGTGAACCACCTGTCCACCATCATCGCCCAGCACTCGGGATACGCTTGGCACCACCAGGGAATCATCTACACGTTATCAAGTATTGAACATATAAGAAGATCAAATTAAACCAACTTAATCTCAAAACGAATCAATATTGATGTTCTTCATTTACCTCAAGGTAGTGCTCCCGGGTCAGCTACATCTCTCTTGCGTCTTTCTTGGTTTTCCTCTCTCCAAGCTTTGACCCGTAGTAGGTTACGATGGCCTGGATGCGCACCTCGTGATGCATGTCGGAGACGAGTTTTTTATAGGCTTTGGTAGTCACCTGCTCCGCCCTGGCCTCAAATCCCTCCTCGCATCTGTAATAAGTCTGCATACAAAAGCGATGTATCCATTCATTATTTCAAGAAAAGTCCAATGAATGCGACGTATTGAGCAATGTTGTGCGAGGGAGACTTACCCAAAGCTCTGCCTTCACCCGCGCTGCCTTGTTGGGGTACTCCGCATCGGTGGCGACGGCGTAGTGGTCAAACGAGTAGGCCGGCTCCGTCTTCGATGCGTACGTGACAATGCCGGGGAAGTGTTGCCTGCATAGAAGACCCAGGATGCCGTTGACTAGCCGTGCGCTACCACCCGACACAACCACCCAGTTCCTACATAAGTGATTAAGAAAAATTATTAGTTTTTTTTCATCATATCATATGAAGTAGTGGTGATAACATATAAAGTTACTTACTTTTGCCCTTCGGGCCAAATCACTGGGCGTTGGTGAGGAAGCGGAACATGTGGGAGGCTCGTGGGACCTCGCAAGTAGACACTCGAAGAGGAGTCGGAGGAAGCGGAACCCGTGCCTGCCACCTCCAACTCGTCATCCTCGTGCGGCCCCTCCTCGTCCATCTGCCGAACCAGCTCATCATCTGACTCGTCCACGGGCGCCACCTCCTCCTCCGGCTCCTCCTCACGCGGCGTGGGAGGAGACGGCCCCCTCCTGCGTCTGGCAGTCCTCCTCCTCCTCCTGTCCGATCCCTCCGCCGCCCCTCCGCCTCCTCCTGCAGCCGGCGTGGTCTTTGGTAAATCGAGTTCACGGACCTATGACAGTCGCCCGCCATCTTTGTTCAATCACCTGCAACAAAAAAAGAAAAACAAGACGTAATTAGAAATATGTGCAAAAATGAACAAAACATAATTACAAAAAACATAGTAATACATGTATTAGAAATATTTGCAAAAATGAACAAAACATAATTACAAAAAATATAGTATTACATCCCGTGAACACACCAGGCGCAGAATATCCCATACGCCAGGAAGTCATGCAGGGAGTAGTGGTACCAAACGTGCATTTTGAAGGTTGTCTTTGTAGCTCGATCGTATGTCCATACCCCTTCGTCCTAAGCACAAACCAATTCATCAAACATGGGCTCCATGAACACACCCATATTACTTCCTGGGTGTCCAGGAATTATGAACGACAAGAATACGTTATGTCGTTGAAAGGAGACACCGGGGGGAGATTAAGGGGGATAACGAAGATGGACCAACATGTGTATGGGGCAGCCATCATTCCATAAGGATTGAACCCATCTGTTGCTAGCGCGACACGTACATTACGAGCCTCATCTGCTTTATCACGATGTTTGTCATTAAAGCAGATCCAAGCTTCACCATTGGATGGATGTACCATCTTGTCAGGATTGTACCGTTCGCCATTTTTGTGCCATGTCATCTATTTCACGGATTCCTCGGTCATGTATAGCCGTTGGATCCTCGGTAGGAACGGAAGGTACCGTAAGATTTTCACGGGGATCATAAGTTGCCTCTTCTGGCCTTCATCAGAGTCTACCTCCAGGTACCTGGAGGATTTACACTTTGGACAGAACTTTGTATGCTCGTGTTCTTTCCTAAATAGGACGCACCCCTTCGGACAAGCATGTATCTGCTCATATGGCATCTTAAGTGCACGAAGGAGTTTCTATGACTCATACATGCTCTTTGGCAGAATGTGGCCCTCCGGAAGCAGGGTGCCAATCACGGCCAACATCTTATCGAAGCTAGGTCGACTCAAGTTTAACTCGGACTTCAACCCCATTAAACGTCCAATGGCATCCAGTTGAGACACCGTTGACCGATCGTGAAGGGGTTTCTGTGCTGAGTCCATCATGTCATAGAACGCCTGTGCGGCTGCCTCCATCTCCTCCTTCTCACGTCCCTCATCGAACTGTCCTTGGTGAAAGTCATCTAACATGTCTGCTACCCTGGCATCAGCATCAAAAGCCTCCACCCGTGGTCTCACCACCTCCTCTCTCATACGATGGGCTTCACCATGGTGGATCCACCGGGTGTAGTCCGGTGTGAATCCATTCTTCATAAGATGTTTACCCATTTCCACCTTGTTTACCCTTCTCCTGTTTCCACATTTGCTGTAGGGACACAAAACAAGGCAATGTCCTTTAGCAGCCTTGCCAAATGCACTGTTCAAGAAAGCATCGGTCTTGTTCATCCATTCCGTGGTGTAATCACTCAGACTTCTCCAGCCCGTGTACATCCACTGACGGTCATCCATCCTCTAACATATGTATCAGCGAGTAATGTAACCATCAATTGCATCTACATGGTGTTCCTACTGTCTAATAGGTGACGATAGGTCCTAATCCCACCCGCGGATGCGTAGATGAGGTTAGTTTCCATGCTCTACTCCGGTCCGAGACAGAATTTTGGCAGCACCTCCCCGCTGTTCTCCAGATACACGTCCTGCCAAAGAAGAGTGCGTATCCGGAGAACAACAGGGAGGTGATGCCGAAACTCTGTCTCAGACCGGAGCAGACCATGGAAACTAACCCATCTACGCATCCGCGGGCTATTCAAAAAACGTGGATAATCCGAAACAGATACAATCATAGATATGCAAATATCTGCATACCTCCAACCATATCTCTTTCGAACGGGAGACGCCTAACTGGGTTACGCGATCTACGACCATGATACAGAAAGA